CAATTCTTGCAGCCGAAGATCTTATTGGAGGTCAAGTAGACGTTGTATGCAATACCCATGTTTATGGTTGTATGGGAGACGTCCAGGAAGTTGCTGTTCGTCATGGGAGATTCAGATGGGGTTCAGTTCACAGCGCGTGCTCAAGATTAGATGGCAGACGGAAGATAAAACTTCGGTAGAAGATTTGGGAGGTAGGAGGTCTTGGAAAGATCTAAAGTAAGGTAGTCGTCAGGTCGCGAGTAGAACTACCCCGCCCAGGCTTGATCGCAGAACTTAACGCGATCCTACAGTTTGTCCGGATCTCACTGAAGCTTCCCTTGGTTTTGTTATGGCGTGATACTTCACTTCAACGTCCAGATAGAGATCTTTGCAATAGGTAACGAGGTCAGACGAAGTCAGGGAGGTCGGACACGTCAAGCTGGTCAGCCTGACGATTCACTGACGATAAGATCGCTGACGATAAGAGGAGGCCGGGGGCCTAAGCACCTTTAGGGCAAACGGCTGCAACTGGTGAGTTGAACGGGATTCGCGAAAGAGGTCAAGAAGCTAGTCGCTTCCCGGGTCCTTTTGGAAGACAATGGAAGAAGCAGAAGCCAAAATGCAGTGAAGGTTGAGTGGCGGAGGAGAAAAGGGAGAGAGAGAAACGTCGGGGAGTTTCAAGGCGGCGCCCCGCAGTGGACCGGATCAGGTGGGATCAGCTGTTTACCTCCCCATTGATGCGTTCGCATTGAGGCTCTACTTCAAGCGGGATATACCAGTGGTTCAATCAAAATGAGGGGAATTTGGAATGAAGGCTGTATCTATTTTAATAAATCCCCAAAATCCCTATACAAAGCGCCAAATGTGCTCCAGATTCAAACCGTCTTATACACAATGAACTAAACGCAGAGACACTGCCCTGCATAACATGGACAAGACCAAAAACTAGAATCATTGCCATTTTGTTCACTCATAATCCTTCACATACTTTCCCGGCAGCTCAACGTCCCACATGGGTCGCTCGATCAATGCTACCTCCAGGTTCTCGCTTGGGCCCTGCTCCTCATCGTCGCCAGACAGGGAGCTAAGAGGGACAATACCGAGGAGGTCGCGGTACTTGTAGGTGTGCCACCAGCGCCGTGTGGGCTGAGATGAAATGCCATTGGTTGTCACCTGCGATTTCTTCGGGGTATCTGCCACCTTACCCTTGCTCGTTCCCTTTTGGGGAGTTCCGTTCTCAAGGGCCGGGCCATCTTCACGTCGGAGTCGCGCGAGAGTGGCATCGTTGCCAGCGACAAATGTCTCGTCGTAGTCGTAAGATTCATCATCTTCGCCGGGGACTCTTTGACGCTCTTGGTCGAGCGAGATCCATTCGCCTTGTGACTCGTCGCTTCCAACAATCTTGCGCACCTTGGAGCCCAGGTGGATATCCATCTGCGACCGAGGGATTCGGTCTCCAGCACCGCTATTGGGCTTCTTGCGATTATCCTCTTCCTCTTCCAACGGGTCGCGCTTGCGCTTCGATGCCTTGATAAGCTGGTTCGAAGATTTGCTCTCTTCAGCCTCCATCTCCTCAGGAGTTGGGAAATCCTGCAGCAAATCAAACATCCACAGCCAGGATGTTCCGTACATCCAGAGACGCTCACGGCCTTCGAAGAGATCCCAGATACAACCCATGGCACGATCCTTCACACCCCGGAACTCGGCAGGGAGGTAAGCCTTTGGGTTTCGTCTTGACCAGTCAGACAGCTTTCCACTTAGAACCTCAAATTCAATAAGTTGATGCTCGCTGGTGACGACCATCAAGCGATCTTGGCCAGCTGAGGCCTTGGGGTTGGCGCCATTGGCCAGAACCTTCGTAGAAGGGCTAGCAGGGCGGAATGACAGCAGAGTGATTCCGGACTTCATTTGGGGTATCGGTGATTCAGAAGCTGCTGGTAGCCAGCGCTCACCCTCAATCACAGCATTATCATCCTCGTCGTCAGAGGAGTCATCGTCGGAGTCTGAAGCACCATTCTTCTTGGCCTGGCCGTTTGTTTGAGACTGAATTTCTTTGTTGAGTGTCCATGTATCAATGCAACCTGACAGGTCGCCAGCAGCGATGATCTTGCTGTCTTCAGAGAATACAACAGATCGAATTATGCGCTCATAATCACCCAGGGTGCCGTGAGAGGCCTTTTCGTGGCGAGCATGTCGAACAGCACGCTTGAGGTTTGCGAGCTGCGGAAGAATCTGCGGCTTCTCGGTGGCAGACAACGCGGTTTGAATTTTAGCGACATAAACTTCGCTATTGGGACGAACCACACAGAGCCAACGACTATCGGGAGAGATGGTGACGAGGCGTGCACCCTCGCTTGAAAGGGCCTTGGGAACATCAATCTTCTGGATCCGCAAAGCACCCTTCTCGTCGCCCTTTCGTCGGCGGACTGTGAATACTTTGACATCGGAGATCGTTGCAACGGCGAGGGTCTTTCCGTCTGGAGACAACATGGCGGAGGTAATATTTTCTTCACCCTGGGAGTTGAACAAAGCATTAGTACTTCGATTATGCATTAGAGGCGCGGGAATAATTTGCTAACCTGGATCATAACCTTTGCGACAAGCTTATGCCTTTGGCCATCGATACTCTCAAGCTGCGAGGTTGGACCACGCGCCACACGCCACAAACTGACTTCTCGGTCCCAGAAGCTCATGACCAGGCGAGAAGATGGCGCGGAGGTGAGTTGAGGGATCTGAGGGAGGCTGGAAAGCTTTCGGTGGTGCTCTTTGCCGAATTCACGCAGAGGAAGGACAATTGGTGTGGCATCGGGCCCTGGGAGAATTCATGAGTATTTTGAACAAATTAGATATTGGGTTAGGCCAATCACTTACCACCAGAAACGGCAATACTGATATCCTTTGTCTCATAGACAGCGAAAGTCTTGACATCGTGCGAGTGGTATCGCCTGTGCATAACTTCAGCCCAGCGGGCCTTCTTGTCGCCCTTATCACCCTCCTTTTTGCGGAAGACCACGGTCCTCTGGTCTGCACCACCACTCACAACAGTATCTCCATTGGCACTAACTGCCACATCAAGTACGTCCGCCAGGTGACCCTGGAGACGCTGAGTGAGGGAATAATTCTTGGCATCCCAGAATCGAATTTCACCGGCAGAGTCTCCAGAGACGATGGTGCCGTCTGGCAAACACTTGACCGACCAAACCAGCAATTCCTTGGGGCCGCCAGAAGGACCCTTTCCAAGTGAAATTGTGCGAAGCTGTTGGCCGTTTCGGATATCGAAAAGGCGAATGGAGCTATCAGCGTAGCCCGCAACGATAGTGTGTCGGTTCTGGAAAGTCACGCTGAGCACGCGAGCCCTCTTTGTTGAGGGGCGCATCAAACGAAGAAACTTCAAGTCGCCGTCCGCAGTGGACAGAATCACGATAGATCCATCAGCGCATCCGGCGGCCAAGTGCTGACCCGTATATTCACCCTCAGCGGGAGGCAGAAATTTCCCATCCTTGCCTCTCTTAGTTGGTTGCCAGCGCGGCTGAGAAGCAAGACACCAGATCTCTCCGTAGTTGCCGCTCGAATGGCGCAAGGGACGTCCCTGCTCAAGATCCCACTCGGTGACAGCGGTGGAATATCCAATGCTGAACAGGCGCAGCTTGCCAGGCAGCTTGGATCCATCGGGGCCGTCTTCTGAGGGGTCCAGAGTCCAGGTCAGTCCTTCGATACTCCGGTCCTTTCCTCCTCTCAGCATTGTCTCTTGAAACCAAGCCCCGCGCATTGGGTTCCATATCTCGATATCGCCGTTCGCACGGCCAATTGCGAGTCGAAGGGTAGGCACGCCTCGACCGGCGGCATCGGCAGATGGGGGGTGAGAGAAAGCAAGCGAGTTAATCGCCTGGGGGTTATATGATACGAATCGACAACGGTGGATATCCATGACTGTGGTGTTGGAAGCCAAAGCTTTGGTTCGATTTGACTCAAGGGAATAGGCGCAAAGATGAGATTCGAGGGGTGGGGTGGGGAGATTCAATTTAGATTGTCTCTTAAAAGGGCGCAAAGAAAAGCCCTTAGACACTCATAGCGTCCAAATCTGGTGTGAAATTAACGTGTGGTGTCGAGCTGGCCGTCTGTTGCGCGGTCACTTTTTTTTCTCTAGATAAATTTTAGCGGGCCGAAATATCTTGGCGGTTATCGGTCACGTGGTGTGATAGGCTTTTATTTGGTGCCCTGGGTTTCAGGCGCCAAGGCATCGATTCGGGGAAGAATAGTACCATTGAGAGTGCAATTCGAAGCAGATGATAATTTCTTTACGAGACGAAAGATATCAGGCAATTGAATCTTTGGGATGGGCTTGATCTGCATTTTCGGGCACTTAGAATAGATGAAATCGAATCGTCATACAGCCCATTGTCCGAAATATGGGAGCGAACGTCGCGAGGTCACTCTACACAATAAACATGAAGATACACAAAGACTCACACTGGCAGTGTATTTACAATATGACACCTGAAGGAACTCAAGTGAGGTCTTGCGTTTGTATTTCTCCGTACTTTTCAAAAACGTGAAGATACTATACTTCAACAAGTGGTATCGAGCTCACGTCTACTCCGTACCTTAAGGTACGGAGTACTACGAATTCGGACTCAGGTACTCTGTAGTCAAAACAGGATTCAAAATCAATCAATTGGTGAGAAGCGATCGATAGTCTTGTCAGTAGCTCCATGTAGACCAATCTGTGGTTGCTGATCGCAAGACAGGACAACGCCGCAGGAGATTGCGGGGATTCTATCTGCGCTATTGGATGATACCTGAGCACATCTTGGCGTCTCGGGCCTCCATTTGGGTGATAACCTTGGGAAGAGTGACCAGTGGCGTGAGACGGGTCATCATATGTATGTGTACCGAAGAAGCTATCTTCAACAGACGCCATAAGTAAGGATCCTGTCGGCGATATCAAGTTGTGTACGAAATATACGGAGTACGCATTCGATCATTGATTTTGGGCTCAGCTGAATGTCGAGTTGAAAGCTTCACAAGCATATGGCGTGTGGTAGACCCCGACCAATGATGGCTGTCTGGGCGACCGGCTTTTCGGCTCGAATTTTCCATATTAGGGTTGCTTCGAGTTGCGGCCTTGTCTTGCTCAGGCGTGCCACGTCAGAGTCCAGGATTGTTGCAGCTCGACGCTTTGCGCGATAAGATGTGGCTGGGAAGACATCCTGAATCATGCATTTCTTATGTATCAGATTCCAGAGGGGTCCGGTAGTTTGATCGCTCTGATAGGGCATCTCGCGGCGGGGCATTGCAGCCCGCATTCAATCGTCTCTGTCAGCGATCAGCAGGCAATGAGAACAAGCAGCGAAGTGGATGTCAGGTGTTGACTGGATGAAATTACGGCAGAGATGCAGAGAGAACCAAAAGCCGAAGTTGGGACATCATGTCCACTCATCTCGACTGTCTCTGCTCAATCCTCAACCCTCAATCTGACGGGCATATCCGATTCCATGGATGGGGTAACTTTCTTTTTGGAATTGAGCGCCTATTCATGCGGTAGTCCGAGACTAAAGTCCGGGTATTTTGCCATGGTTCATTTCACTCGCTCAAGCTGAGGAGGGGGCCAGCCCATTGTTAGTCGGGGCTCGGGCGCAGCTCACCAGAGCCAAATAAGCACTAAATTGTTCCGGTCAACTCAATACGATCGTACAGCCGCTGCCAGAAGGGCATGACTGGCCACCATTGATCCTGCCGGAAGTCAACTTCCAGGGAAACAGCTCGTATTATGCTGCCTTGATCTGAGTTAAATTGCTTGCTCCACTTCGGGCTGGGTTCGCGATCTCCTTAGATCTCGCCCTCCAACCCCGCTTCGTGCCATTTGCAAACTTCCCATAAGGTTCGATTCATCGCTCCCAATGCAATCCATCTCGTGAGCCGCGTCTCCAGCACGCCTCCTGATCGCGTGCTTGGAAGCGAAACATATCACTAGATTTGGACATGGGCGAATAACCCTAGAATCCACTGCAGATCCTGGACACGACATTCCACTCCGCTCACGCCCCTGATATGTCCCAAGCCTAGCCTGAAAAAGGTAGAAAAGACGGGCTGGAGGAGACTATCCTCAACCAGCCCAGGGTTTTGGAGACCCTAACCCAGACTCGGTGCAATCATTGACATCCAGATCGACAATCGACAAGATATTGACAAGCAGTGCCAACCAGGCGCAATGGCCGAATCATCATGTGTGCAAGCACGGTGACTCGCGCCAAGTTGAAAATCCATGTTCTTGTCCCAAGCCTCCCGTTTATACGCATCCGGATGGTGACCGAGCCGCCAATGCATGTGGTCGTCTGCCGGGACAGGATACGAGCGAGGTAAAAAGCCTCAACCCTGTCGTGGATGTGTAAAGGACGATCAATTGAAAGTAAAACGATCGTTCATCGACGTGGAACCACTCAATGATTCATCAAGTCATCTATGTAGTCCTTAGCCACAATGCAGAGGGAACGCGCACAATGAATCCAAAGTGTGGGACGCGATTCCCGGCGATGACGGCATATTTCCAAGCCGAGGCCAATCCACTTTAACTCCGTAGGAAGGGTTCGCGATCGAATTTCGCACTCTCCTTGCACCTGCAGGAAGACGCATCTTTTTGAGTTTGTAATGAGAGTTTCGCCAACGTGTTGGAACCTCACGATTTCTCGGTGGAATCGGGTATACCAAGGCCAATCGTGGTTTTGTTGCCCATTTATCCCACTGTGGATGGGGACTTGAGTTAAGTAATGCGTACTCCGTACTATACAGAAAGCTCCGATGTGGAGTGTTTGTTCTTTACACGACGGGTATTCCCCACTTTGTTTCAAGGTCCAAACCTAATTGGGCTTAGTTGTATTTAATAGCCTGACTGCTCCGATTACCTTTAGCATTCGATCAAAGCATATTTAAGAGCTATGCGTACCTAGAAGGGAGCAATTAAGAGCTATGAGTTGAAAAGAGCATCATTTCTTGACCCTGTACTCCCTAATAGCATTCCTGATATCCATACTTATGTTGGTGTGAGGGGAAACTTAGATAGAGTGGCGAATTGACCAGGCACAGCTCACCTGCAATGAAAAAGGGGCGGGGAAAAGGGGAGCTAGAAAAATACCCTAGACCCATGGTTGAGCCTCCACACCAAATCCACCGCATGGTGCTTTACCTAAAAAGGTCATATTGGCTTTGACTTCGCATTCGCGTTGTTAATTAGCACCACTCTTATTCGTTGTGGGGACGCGCGAAGAGTTTTTGCCAGTCGCTCTAGTTTCAGTCGTTGATGTAAATTTGACATACATCGAAGCCATTGAACCTGAACCTGGTCAAATTAGATTTGATCGGCAGAGATCAATAGTGCGGATATCCAACGGTACCAATCTTAAACTAGCAAAACACCTTCCGGTGAAAGAAAGCTACACATCGAGATTCTTTTCCCGACCCATAGTGTATAGCCGAGCGAGTCCAAACGGATTGTACGCTTAACGCACCTTGTCCACGACCCCGGAATCTTGCCAGCTTAAGGAATCAAGTGACCGGGCGAAATTGACGTGGTGGAGCAGTGCCCACATCGCGGTGCAGAAAAGAAAAAAAACTTCACGTTATAGATCTCCGCAGAGGGGCAATACCAAAAAAATTTCACCGGTCAAAATGAACACACCTGGGCATTCTGTTCGATACGAGTAGAATCCTCGGGGCTATGAGTTTGTTTTATTATTATTTTCGATGCAGCATGGCTTTGAACGGAGGGCCTAATAAGAAACTGCGTCCGCTGAACTTTCAGAAATTATAGACTCGGCTTAGTAACGAAACTACATAATCATATGGTCGGGCTGGGCAAGAAAAATACTATATTCGGAAATAGATTAAGAAATCGCCCATGTACTGAGTAAAAGACCTCTTCTTGTTCTTGTTCTGACGATTGAAACCGTACTCCGTACCCGACCTCAAATTTCCGTTTGTGTGCGTATGGTATCCGCTCGATCCGACTCCCGCCACTCGTTCGGCACTCTGTTTTTCACGTCAAAACCGCAGTGGACCACAACGAAAACCGCCTGTCAATGAAGCGGGGCAGAGGGCACAAATGAAGGGTTATCTTACGTTGTATGAAGTTGCCTTGGACGCCGGGTTTTTCCAACAGGTCCCGGGAAGCGGTCAGGCCTACAGACTTCCGGTACCGTGGTTTATACAGACCGGCACGGCCCTGCTGGACAACCGTTATTTAGATGTGGAGCCTGAGGTATGTACTCGGAGGAGCCAGAGACTTTCCATGGTTGGGGACGTCCATAAGTTTCGCAGATGTAGTAATATGCAGGTGGGACGTACCTAGGTAGGCAAAACAGCTCCTCCACAATACAATACTATTCTGATCTGATACATACGGCGGTGTTGGTAGTGTACAGAGGCGTTCTGTATGTATACTCTACTGCAGGTTTCAAAACCTGGGCGAGTGTATCTGTAAACGAAATTCTGGGTCATCTGCAGCATAGGGTCGATACATTTGATAGCGAATATATGATAACTCGAGTTATAAGGTTTGGAATCAAGCGAGGGTCATCGGGGGGAAATGCACATGATTCGCCCAGGTGGTTTACTTCAATATGTTTTTTCTATACTTGAACTTTAAAGAAATGGGGGGGGAAGCTTCATTGGTGGCTCAGGTGTGCCCTAAGCCGTGCACATAGATAATTAAGAGCAGACATGCAAGAAACTGCAAACAACTCAAAGGCAATTGCCGTCTCACCGTTAGTTGCACATATCAGTGGGATGATGGGCAGCGGGAGATTTAACCCCTTGCGTAGCGGCAAGAACAAGACATGCAGGTACAGATTACATACGGAGAACACAAGGTCCGCAAAAACAGCTGCAGAACGTGGCAGAGCGGTGAAATATCGATGTGTGTGGACGCTTCTACCAAGACGAATCTGTACGTAAGGGGGATGATACCTATAGCTACATGTAGACCACATGTCTTCCCTGAGTTCTCCGTAAGAAACCCGCCCGCTAAATCTTCCCCTTCAAACTAAGATAAAGCACATCTCACAGGGCCCCTGGAAAGCTGCTCCCAAGACATGCAATTTTTGGACTCTGATGGATTTAAGGTTCATCCCATGCTTTTTTACTGAAACCTCTCGAAGCATAGAGCCATTGTACTCTTCTACAGCAGGACTCTGTTCATACGTTAGACAGTGGTTTGTTGAATGAGCAGTATTGCCTGTGAGTAGTATGTAGAAAGGCAAAGGGAAACCCACTACTATGTAAAATAGTATAAATAATTTGTCACTCCTATGTTGTGCTCGGCGGTAAAGGTAAAAATAACTTGGGGTCAGTGAGAAGTGAGTTCCAGACCAGCCCGAGAGACGAATCCTAGCTATGGACTTGGGGCCAATACGAAGTACTCCGTACTAGTTTTATGTCGGCAGTTGAAACTCGGATTACAAAAGTGTTGCTCAGGCAGCCCAAGGCAAAGAAACAGAAACAAAACTTCCAAGGTTGCATGACAGAGCGAGCCAATGCGACCGGGCGATAGTCCGACCATTCCCCTTTCTCATAAACGGGTGGGCGCATCGGATGCACTCAATGTGTCAGAATCTAGCCCGAGCTTTCTCTAAACTTGAATAGTTCAGTATTTTCCAAGCCATTCGGTCACTTTACGGGTCCTTTTCCGCCAAGGAACTTCACGCGGATATTGCATTGCGTCGGGTGCCCCATACCGGCTACGTACTGCATACTCCGTCCTATCGCCGCAACACCCCTTTTCGGGGGCTGTGGACGACTTTGCAAAGGTACCGATGAAAAGCGCTGGTCGCAAGACTCGAAGTTCACAATTCTATGCTAGGCTCTATGTATGCTCATATGTACTATGTACTCCGTACTCCGTACATGCGAGACACTTCGTCCTCCGGACCACGGACTGTAACTCAGAGCCATAGATTTGCGTTCAGTCTACTCCGTAGTGGTGGAACACGACCCTGATGTATGGGGTCCTCTGGGGGGGTTAATTAAACAAGCGTCGCGCCGCCTCTTTTTATTTTTGGATGCGAACGGGGCGCTGCGGGTTTACGTCGAGTTATTGTTGGCAGCTCCATTGTGTATTACATTTCTTGAAATTCCAAAGGGGCGTCCGCTTACATGGTACGGAGTAGTCAGTACAACTCTAACAGTTTGATACTGTAGTTATGGGCGCGCTATACAACATCAGGCGTCAACACTGCGAACTTGTATGAAGTTCCTGCTCCTGTGCATAGTCCGCCTTTAGACTGCAACAGCGAGCCCCTTT